GAAAATATACAGTATTATATAAATAATAATTCAGGTAAAAATAAATAAATAATGGGGAAAAAAAAACGAAACAGAAAAAAGAACATCATATAAATAACAGAAAAGCTTCACAAAGAGACCTAGTGCGTTTTGCTTTACTGTTTTTCAACCCAAGTAGTAACTCAATATAATTTTTCATATCTATCTGAAATAACAAAAAGTTGGGTTTTCCTTTAGCCCATTTCTGTTGATGTATATGGTATTTGCCCATAATCAAACAAAGATTAACAATAAAGGCCACATTTGGTGGTAATCTCTGTCTATTAAAATAAAAAAATACATCTTTTTCAGAAAAGTAAACTTTCATGCCTAGGCATTTACAAAGGAAACATTCCAAATCTATCCAAAACATTTAGCTATAAACGCAGTTACAAAATAAGTCATATAAGTCACAGAAATCCCATATAACATCTACATCATCTAGCGCGAGCTTGTCCACTGAAATGTGTATATATACGCGTGACGTCATCACGATAACGTGTATTATTGTAAAGTAATATATTAATAAGAATATGTTAACACCAGTGTAATACATTTAAGAACCTTCAGTCAGTTGTTATTAAGTGTGCTGACCATAGCTTAACAATTTGTTGGACTCGTTTAGTATTTTGTATCAGGTTTTTGTGACTTTTGACATGTACAGCCAGTCTAGTGTCTTTTGGAACGGTGAGTTCATTAACATTGTGTAACCAAACAGTCAATACAGGTATTGGACATGATTTAGTGTTTAGGGCAGGCATTTCCAGGGATCCCTCTGATTTAGGGTTATCAGAGGCCAAAGTCTCTTCTAATACTTTGAAGTGCTTTGTGTTTAGTCAGCAAACCTGTGACTGGAGTTGAGTAGGTATTCTAGGACAGGTGTGTCCCAGCAGTAATACATTCTGCTCAAAAATAGTATCTGGTTTTGCTCCTCAACACATCTACGCATATCTCTAATCAACAAGTTCTTAATGACGTTTTGGGCTTGGCAAGGGTAACCACTCATGCCGAGTGTCGTTGTTCAAAGATGTCAGTTGCGTGAACATTCCTTCTGTTATGAACAAACATAAAAGAATGCAATTTCCGCGCACATTGCTGACATGGGAGAAATTGTTCTTGTCACTCAAGTATTTGCTGTTAATTTTAGGCTCTGCTATCCTACTTGTCCAGTTTTGGAGACACAACCCGTTAGGTGTGGTTTAGGGTTCAAAAGACTTCGCAGCTCACTGTTTACTCATTTCGCTGTTTCTGGTCGTTCACAGTTCACACTGTCATGGCGACCTACCAAGAGTTCATCCAACAGAACGAAGATCGCGATGGAGTACGCTGCAGTTGGAACCTCTGGCCTTCCAGCCGCCTGGAGGCCACACGGCTAGTGGTTCCTGTTTCCTGCCTCTTCACTCCTCTCAAAGAGAGACCGGACCTGCCTCCGGTCCAGTACGAGCCGGTACTGTGCAGCCGGGCCAACTGCAAAGCCGTACTCAACCCACTCTGGTAAGGACTGAATCACTTTTCCAAGCAGTGTTGAGTACTGTTTGTTTGTACAGCGTGTGGTCAGTATAGATAAATATCATGATGACATTTGATTTGCATATCTGAATTATTGATTAGTTGGTGGACTGGAATTGGAATGGACTTTGAATATCAGCTTACACTTAAGAACAGTTAATTCCTGTTTATTAAATTAAACATTGGTGTCCTTAATCATATTGCTGTTGCTGTCATTTTATAAACACAATAAAGGGGGTTTAGAGGGTTTTAGGTGAAGCTGATTTTGCCTGGTTTGGATGTTGACCTTTTATTTTAGGGTTCGTAAAATAGTGTTTTGCTCAAGTGGAGGTTTGGTCTTTTCCTCTAGATTTCCACAGACTTGCTAATTACATTATTTCAGAGCTTTTTAAATGTTACTTTCCAACATTTATCATTGGTATGTTTATTGGATCAGGTCAGTGAACTGCTAATTGTTTCCTTTAATCGCTGTGACTAAAGGTAGACAATTGTTTCTCACTGTGTGCTAATGACTTACATTAGAAAGGCTTTGTCATAGACAAGTTTAGCACCTTTAACGCTTGATTTCCTTTTGTAGTCAAGTGGACTTCAGAGCTAAGATATGGGCCTGCAACTTCTGCTTCCAGAGGAACTCTGTGAGTATACATTACTGAAACTCATTTTCAGTCATGGATTTGCTCCATGTGCTTCTCTAACATCACTGTGAGTAAATATTAATCTATTTCTTCACAGTTTCCTCCATCATACGCAGGCATTTCAGAAGTGAATCAGCCCGCAGAGCTAATGCCTCAGTTCTCCACCGTTGAGTACATAGTGCAGGTAAATTTACATTTACTCTGTGTACTCTGTACTGTACATAGGCATACTTTACTGCACAAACATATAGATTAACTACAACTCCTTTAGCTCACAGATAGCTGCTTGTCAAAAGCCAAGTGTCATGAAGCTAGTGTTCAGTGTGTTTTGACAAGTGACAGGATTTTTAAATAGTTTAAATAGTTTTACTTGAAATGTAAAGGTCTGTATACACTTCCATTCAAGAGAATTATTTGCCCACCAAGGCTGCATTTATTTGATAAGCAATACAAATAGTAATATTGTTAATTTTTTTTAAATATATATTAAAGATGAATTTCCAGCATCATTACTCCAGTCTTCAGTGTCACATGGTCTTTCAGAAAGCATTCTAATTTGCTGATTTGGTGGTCAATAAACTTTATGTTTATATATTAAATATAATAATATAAATGTATATACATGTAAATATTTTCAATATATATGTATATTGTATGTTTGTGTATTTATATATACATAATAAATAAACACCGTACACGTGCATATATTATGTAAACAAAAACGTTTATTTTGGATGCGATTAATCGTTTGACAGCACTAATATTTGTATTACATTATTTATGTTTTAGCTTTTTGAATGAGCTGCCAGAAGTACTAAAACAATAGACATTTCAAATGAAGAGTCCTGGTGCATTTATAATTAAAAGTCCCACATTATGCACAAATGTAGCAAAAATTATGCCTAAATACCCAACATTTAATTAAAAGTAAACTCTTGTAGCTTGTTTAATAATCATGCTATTATCACATCAGCAAAATCCAATATTTTGGATTTAATTTGCATTTATTGATATATTAGTACATATATCAAAGTCAGTAGTACTTATGTGTATATATTGAATAAATCATGCCTTGAATAGTTCAAACTTGCAGTTACACTGTTTTGCAATTGAATGTGTGCCTGTTTAAATACATAAATGATGCATGATTTATTTTGAGATTGTACTGTATGATTAAAACCTGTATGAAAATATCACATTTCTGAAATTAAAACTTGTCTGTTTTCTTAACAGTTCATGTTCCACTTGAGGAGATCCCCATTCCTGCAGGTGTTCAATAACAGTCCGGATGAGTCGTCTTACTACAGGCATCATTTTGTGAGTCAGGATCTGACACAGTCGCTCATAATGATACAGCCCATCCTCTACTCCTACTCTTTCTACGGCCCTCCAGAGGTGATTTGAAACCCATCCATGCAACATTATAATACAGAATGTTATGGAATTCAGCTTGCACTCATCTCGTATTTGTCTGGTTTTGTAGCCCGTTCTTCTGGACAGCAGCAGCATCCTTCCTGATCGCATTCTGCTGATGGACACCTTCTTCCAGTTGGTGATTTTCCATGGAGAGGTACGAATCAAATGCTTTGTTGCAGCTCACAAGATTTTGGATCAGAACTGTTCTTTTCATCGGTTCCTCAAATGTTAAATGGCATTTGTCTGAGTTCAGTTTAGTGATGGTGTTATTCTCATCTTCACAGACTATCGCTCAGTGGAGGAAGGCTGGATACCAGGAGATGGCAGAGTATGAGAACTTCAAGCAGCTGCTTCAGGCTCCTCTGGACGACGCTCAGGAGATCTTGCAGACACGCTTCCCCATGCCCAGATACATCGACACCGAGCACGGAGGTTCACAGGCCCGCTTCCTCCTCTCCAAAGTCAACCCCTCCCAGACCCACAACAACCTCTACGCCTGGGGCCAGGTACACGCCTTTAGTTCTGACGGAGCGTTATGTTCGTTATGTGTTCTTAGGTACTTGAAATGAATTCAGTGTTGACAGGAATGTCTGATCTCTAATATTATTTCTCCTCCTTGTAGGAGTCCGGAGCACCAATCCTCACAGACGACGTCAGTCTGCAAGTTTTTATGGACCATCTCAAGAAACTGGCTGTTTCAAGTTCAGCATAAACTTTCTGCGGAAGATCAGTGAAGGATGTACATTTAGAGTGCTGAAGAAATGAACTTTTGACCTAATCTTCTGGAAAAAACTTCCATATCCAACCTTGACACGACAAAGTGCATCTCTGTGTTTGTTTAGGAGGTCCTCCAGAGAAACGGTTGTTAGATGTTTTCTAATTCTCATCTACGCAAGTAATTATGATTTGTCTGTCATGTTCGTTTGCTTATTTAATTAATTTAGTTTGGTTTGTGTCTAACAGAAAGTGTTACATGTTAAACCTTAATAACATAAAATCTGATTTCCCAAAGAGAAACTGTTTTCTGCCATCATGTTGCTCATGTCGCTCTTTCCCAAGCATGTTTAGACTGAAATTCCTGTTCATGCTTATTTGCCAGAATCCTCTTATTTGTTTGTTCTTTTTTTGTATTGCACAGACTCTCATAAACTGTACCTGTGATCTGCTCACTTGCAGGGAGAAACGGTATTTTATAGTCATGTTCCTCCAGTCCTGTAATGAAATGAATGTTGTATGTAAAGAATTTAAATGTGACTCGTGACCCACATTCCAGTTTTATCTTGATCTACAATTATGAACTAATGCTATGCATAATATTTATAGTGAAAATATCTTGTAGGTTTAATTCATTTCAAAGGAAAGACGAAGTTGAGGACCTTGAATGTGCAAACTCTGGTCTTGATCTAAAATAAAACATTACAAATCAAAATGACTGAGGCATTTGTACCTATTTATATCAGGATTTTATGTCTGATGAAATGTGGAATCATTACAATTAAAAACATAATAATAATTGTACTTATGCACGTTATTTGTAACTGTAAAGTTCGCAATATGATTTGTTGTATGATTTTATTAAATTTATTATAAAATATAAATATGTGGACACCTAATTTAGTTTATTTTTTAACAAGAATTAAATTATTTTTCATTACATTTAATTTATTTTATTATAATTATAGAACATCATTACAATATCTTAAGATATTAGTTAAAATTGCAGGTGAGTAGCTTGCAATATGTGATGTTATGGATTGCAGGTGCTTTTAAATTCTTTAAATCGACTGAACTTTATATTTTATTAAAAATATTAATAGCAAAGATTGCTACCTGACATGCAAATAAATCTTTATGAAATGTTTAAATAAAATCCACTCATCTAGTACACACCAACAGCTGCGATTGCCAGTACCTTTTGCCCAGCGCTGACAAAAGTAACGGATACCAAGTGCCCATGCTTTTATTTACTACTTAATCAATTACTGCAAAAACAATTGCATTTTAGTAGTATCTGAATTTACTTGAATTAATATTTGAAGGAATTCAATAAAAAGCGTCAGCAAGAAGACCCTATTTTAAGAAGCTCGTTCTGATTGATCACTTCTCTAACAAGAAAGTGACAACAAATCAGAAGTGAAAAATGCACAATCTGGGAAAAAATAAAAATAAACCAAATGTGGCAAGATAAAGAGGGAAAAGGGAGGGGAACCTGCTGTTTGATCCACACTCCGGAACAGAAGGTGGCGGTAATGTACCAATAAACTGGACGCCAAC